CTAGGGATTTTGTGAGACCTTACCCATTTGTCTTTGGTACAGGGTTGAACTCCATTGGTCACGTTTTCTCAACTAGAACTCCGAACTGTTACGATATTTTCGGGCAGATTTTTGGAGGTTTTTGTGTTTCTACACATTTGAAATCATCAATCAATCGTGGATGCGCACAGCTGATGAGTCCCATACCAGGACGAAACGGCCGTCTTTCAGTGCTTCCAGGTTTCTGATAGTGGTCTAACAATGATTGATTGATGATTTCAAATTTGTCTTTTTAGTTGAATTTGTCTCAAGTTAACTTCATGCATTCTAATCTATCCATACTGGTTACAATGAAATTATTTATTGTCATTGTGGTATTTTCTTTGAATCAAAAACTGTCTGCTTATCAATGACATATTAATGTTTACCATGTTTATTAAAGATTCCCATTGTGAAAAATTGGAACAACACATATATATAAGCGAACCATATTGTTTTCATTGTGATTATTGACTCATAAATTGCCTTGATTGGTTTAACATTTTCATATATAAATATTCATGTATATTAGTAGAGTAAAGCCTAATGACGATCTAATCGAAAACGAAAATATTGTTCGCTTATATATGTGTTGTTCTAATTTACCATGTCAAAGTTAAACAAGACTCATCTTATATTAGCAGCATTAAAAGAATGAAAAACTATCCAACGATTAAATTAGATCAAATATAAAAAGTATCAATTATTTAAGTAACAATTATATTTTGTGATATGAGGTTCATGAAACATTACGTCTGAACGTGTTGATCTATCAAACAAATACTAAAAAATCATAAATTCAAATGTACCAGAAACTTAAGCACAATGACAATGGTAAGAAACTTACAGGATTAGCTGTCTACAAACAATATTCCAAAGTTATATACTCTCATAAAAAATCGAGAGGTGTCTATAAAACTCATCATATAAAAATCAATGTATGTGAAAAGTATTCTATAGTTGTTAGATAGAATATTTAAGATTTCCAGAATTTTTTAAAATTCAATTTCAACTCATCTTAAAAACGAAACTATGTAGGTAACCAATTACATCATTTGTCATATCATTTTAGTATTTATTGTCTATCTTATTAGAAATTCTTAAATTACCCCAATATTGAATAAACTGATATCTGTACATATCATATAGTTTTCTAATAAAATCATATACGTTATGATATTATTCATACTAAGTTTCATATTAACACAAAAACTGTATTTGTCACGACTGTATTTTCTCTACAAGTTACTATGATCAGTATTTTAAGGGCGTTGTATATATTTATGTAAATATATATATATATATATATATATATATATATATATATTTCATATAACAATCATAACAATATGAGGGCATAAAGTCGTATTTTTCTCTCACTTGTTTATGATTCTATGCAGTTCAAAACATTATTGTATATTGTCTAACAAAAAAAATTCGATAAAGACGTTTTTCTCAATTGTAATACGTCACTACAACTACTTGTTAACTCAACTACGTTTTAAAATTGTGACCTGATTCTGACCTTTGATTATTCTTTCTACATTTTGTTTTAATTATCTCTACATATAAACATATACCGCGCGTTTTCTATACTACCTGTCGTTAAATCTGTTGTTATATCCTTACGAAATCAATATTGTACACTCTATACTCTGTAGGTGTATACCTTGTACATATTGTATTATTGAAAACGTGTAAAAGCATGTGTTATATATATATATATATATATATATATATATATATATATATATATATATATATATAATCGGATTTAAATGATTTTAGCTCTGTGCATTTGACCAGTTATAAGTGTTTTGATTTTGAATCACAGATTCTGTTCTGTGTAAAATGAATCGATTTTTTTTGTCAATTGTTTATTTAAGGTTTATTGCAGTTAAACTAAATAGTTAATTGTTCTCAGTTTCTTTTTTTAATACAATAAGTGTTAATTTATTATGTTAAGGAAATAAAGCAACAAAGAAAACATAACTCATTTACTGTCATTTCCAAGTTTGTACATTCAACTTTAAACCATACTGTTTGTATAAAAGCTAGCAATACTAATCGGTTGCCTAAATCGGAGTAGGTGTTGAGGTATCTTAACCCATAAGTTATCGATTAAAAACTATGTGTTTCAAACACTAGTCAAGTTAGTCAGTCGAATGAAAACATCTTTTAAATTTCAAGTATCTCTATTTTGAAAAATTATATTGAAGTTGTTGACTGAGTTCTAGGATTAGTCAACAGTCCAGTAAAGTAGCTTAGTTATTATTCGAAATGTTAATGACCTCGGAATGCATTCTTTTTTTTGTTAGCGTTAAATAGTAATTTATACTTGATAGCTTTCGTATAGTTCCATTGTCCTCATTAGTTTTTTAACAGTGCTGCTTGGTCGACCTCTGGCCTTACTGTTGATTCGCCTTTTTCATATGGGCTGATAAATAAGATCCTTGCTAATATGTTTTTGGACTGACATTTGATCTGAATGATATGCTTCCAAGAGTGTTGTTCATTCTCAAAATCCGCCTGGTCTAAAGACTTGATGTTTTCCCAGTCGAATGTATGGTCATGGCTGCCTATGCACATTCATATCAGTGGTAACATATCCTGCCATTTTCCGACTACCAGTTTATGTCCATTTGTGCTTGAGTGAAGCGAAGCATCCACTTCGTCCACTGTAATATTTCTTTCATATGGTGCAACTTATTTGTTCCTTATTGCCGAGCCTGCCTTCTTTGAAACTAAATATCTAATCTCAGCGAGTACCGAAATTTATTTCCTCATACTGTTCAATTTTTCTCCTCATATTTTTTGTGTAGAATAGGTTTATTAGTACTTCCATTGGGATAATTAAGTTTACTAAGTGAAAATTTTGCTATTTAAACGCTTATTGCTGCCTTCCTAGCTGTTTCTTGTAACCCCAGACTATATCTATGTCATCATCATCAACAGCAACGTTGAACTTTGCACGTAAGTAGAGCAGTTCGAGTTGCCATACCACATTAGCACAGAGATATAATTGTCAATTCAAATCCCATAGTAGTAGAGGTAGTAAAAGTATTAGAAGTAGTCAGAGAGATTAGGGTTCGAAGATGCTATTCAAGAACTATAATTCAGTGAGGTAAATTTAGAGTGAGAAAGATAGTGATGAGGAATTCAGTGGGTTAGAATTTCATAGCACATAATAAGTAAATGCACCTGCGCCATTGCAAACGGTTTTCAGCCCTGTCATTCAGGGTCTCCTATATCTGTGTGTCAAATGAATTATTAGAGTGCGAAAAGTGGTTAAGCGTTTCACTTCAAGGTTAGTTTCTGTACAGAAAATCGGCAGTATATATAGATTTGTGTTACCTGAGACCTTTAGAACTTTCAGAATACATGGTGACGACGTAGAGACTTAACGGGTGATTCTGAGACATTCTATTAGTACTGATTGAATAAAACATTTCCTGAAGTTTTCTCAGCTTAAAATGAATTAATTACATAGTTAACTACTTGATAGCTTTGGCAGTACTTGTTTCTACACTGAACATTTACGAATAAAATTGTTTTTATTGTTTTATTTAACTCAATCAAATTTATTGACAGTTTATTTTGAATTTGGATAGTTTTTATGCATATTGTTTAACATTTAACCTAAATAAAATATTCAACATGGTATATAGTTTATCTGTAATTATCATTATTCATTCTAATTTATGGAATATAAATACCATTGGACATTTAACCTTTATGTTTATAATAACAGTTTTAACACTTTGATATCTTGTGGTATTGTGTTATATATATATATATATATATATATTGTTTATTTCGAGATCCATATTCTAATTTTCTCTCCTATATTCTTCCCTTATTATTATTATGAAAATTTCCATGTTGGTGCTATCTATTGACAGTTGAAAGTGATTGATACATTTCAGCCTTATATTACTAAAAGAAAAAGACAACAAACATTGCATAATTTAGATCTACAATTACCGATAATTCAGGTAACACCTGTCAAAATTACAAAAACACTAAATAATATATCATCAGACAATCAGTGTAATGATTCATCTTCACTTGATATTAATTCAACAACTAACAAGTGTATATCACCTTTGAGTTCGGACAATACATTTGATCTATTATCAAATAGTTCAATTGTTACTCCTTTAATTGATTCACAAGTTAAATTGCCTAAAATAAGACTATCAAAAACAATGAACAAGAAATCAAACGTCAAAAATTCCGAAAATCTTATGTATATTGAGTTGCCTGACTCACCTGCACTTAGTGTAACACTTACAGACTGTTTAACAGCCTACAATGAACATGGTGAAAATCAGTTGACGAACAATTTTTCTTCAGTAACCGATGATTGTTTAATTGATAATCAGGTAAAAAAAAAATCAGTTTGCCTTGTTTGTTCCTGTTTGTTTCTTCTTCTTCTTCTTCTCTGTTTTGCTTTGAATGTGCTGCTGCTTCCTGTTGTATTTATTTTTTGATTATTCTTTATTTGCATTTTGCGCCTTTATCGTATATTGTCAGATCACCGCTTTTCATGCATGCTGTTTTGTTCAATGTGTTTATTGTGTGCATAGATATTATTATTATTATACCTTTTATCTGTATGTGTCTATTTTGCTTACCGTTTTATTTCGAAACAATGTAAATGTTATTTGTAATGTGAAAATTTGATTGTTTAGCTCATTTTTTAATAAGTTCTTGATGGAATGTATGGAAAATATTCATGATAATATGTTTCTTGATGAAGAAAATATTGCTTGAATATTTTTTTTTGCATTTTTGAAAAGTATTCGAAAAAATGGTTCCGCTATATGATGCATGTTTACACATGAATATATGTATATATGTATTTTTTTTTCTCCATATTTAAAGTTGATTGTGTTCATTGTGTTCAATGATAATAACGTTTACATTTTTAAATTATTGATGAACTTTCAATTGTTCTGTTGTTTTGTTTTTCTCTTCAGGTGAATAAAAAGTTGGCCCAATGTACTTGTTGTCATAGATTACATATGCAACGTTTAGAAGAAGGACGATATAGACTAGGTTCACGTATTTATTATTTACGCAGATTTCGTAATCATGTTATGGTTCGAGTTGGTGGAGGTTGGTTAACATTAGACGAATTCTTACAACGTCATGATCCGTGTAGACGAAGAATTCATTCATGTGATATGGGACCATCAGTTGTATCCGATGGCATTCCTCCTATTAAATCGTGTTTTAATGTCTCTAAACCAATTCGTCGAAATACCGAATTTGAAAGTCCATCTATTTCACGGATAAATTCAATGAATCATTTCAATAGACAATCGTCTAATGGTAGCAATAGTAGTGTGGAAAGTCCAAGAAGTGATTCTAGTATCATTGACCCTGGAATGATAGTTAGTGAAATTTCTAGTGGTGGAAGCATTTCTCATACATCTTCATTAAATTCACTTAAACAGAAACAACAAAAACCTATAACAACAACAACTCCTCTTCATACCATACCGAAAGCTCCTAATCTTAGAACTGCTTCACGATCACGTGATTCTTCCAAGAAAAATACCGATTCTACAAATAAAACGCCAAATAATACTACTGATATTTCACATTCTCGTGCATCCTCCGCAAAACGTACAAATATTCCAGTGGATAATAATAAAACCAATGTCCGAACATCATCACGTCCTCGTAGTATTGTTGCATCGAAACGTGAAGATTCTGTATCAAGACCTATGAATATGAGAAAAGTTTCACAATCTCGTGAAGAAGTCACAACTACACGAACTCCTTGGAGAAATTGATGTCCTACACTTGTATTTGTATTTGTTTTGTTATGTTCTTCATTTTATTCAAACTCATTTTGGTTCATTCTAATTTATCAATTGACTTATTTATTTAATTTATTTCGTTGATTTTATTTTGCTTCATTTATTGATCGTATCCAATAGTAGTTACAGTTTGATTTTTTTTCTTATTCAACTTTTCTTTCGGTTCAAATTGTTTCATGCGATAATCTGTCCGACTCTCTCTCTCTCTGTCCAGCTTTTATACCATATTAGGTACACTTGTTGTTATTATTTTTATGATGATGATTATTCTTATCGGTGTTATTATTTTGTTTGTTGAAATCTTTGTACATATGAAATGTTCTTTTCTTTTCTGACAACTATTGAACTCACATTACTGAATCTTTTGATGATATCTTTGGAAAGTACTAATAAAATTTTTATAATATTAAGAGATAAAAGAAGCAAAATGTCTAGTTTTGTTTTATTTATATACTTCATTTATTTAATTCAAAGGTTAGGAGGTATTTTCGCTGTAGTATGTGCAATGAATAAGAAATAATTCTGTATTAATCTATGCATAATTGACCGCCTGTTATTTTTCTGATCATCAGATGATCGAGAGTAGTTGTAGTTCAATATTCAGTGATGGTGGTGGTGGTGGTGTTGTTGTTGTTTTATCTCTTGAGCTTAGAGAAGAACACACAACGATAGTAATAGATTATTTTTTTTATCGTTACTATACTACATGCCTAAAAACTTTAGTCTGGTATTTTTATTCTATTTTATGGAGTAGAAACAATCACAAGATGCTTAAAACTATAAACTACGTGAATATTTTGCACTTGAAAAGTACGCGTAAGGTCGGTGCTTCTCCTATTAAATTTATTAATTTTTAGCGAAAACTAATAGAAAGAATGAGTACAATCTGTAAGATTGTGTAGTTTTATTCATGTCTAGGAAAATTGTACGACAATTATTACACTATCGTATCAACATTATGTTTTGTATTTTCGAAATTCAGTTTGATCGAATGAAGTGATCTATTTATCAACAGGGTAAATCATATCAAAATATTTCATTATTTGAGGTTATAATGTAAAAATATCTAGACACTACATAATTTTTAGAAATTAATAAAAATATTGTGTATATGAATTGGCATAGTCAATACTTGAAACTGATGATTCTTAAGTATGTGATTTACTGTGAAGTTTTACATGTCAAACCACTTTATATAACAGTGAACAAGTAAGGTCCTAAATCGATACTGACATTATAACTATAAGTGTAATCTACAACCGGAAAAACTTAGCGGATCAAATATAATGCAGTTTTCCACTATGAGCTATTAATCATTTGTGGTTGGATTTACCTGGTTCTTTATTTGAACTTCATACATGTGAAAGTGTTTATTTTAATTCTTGTTAAAACATCTCATACGTATTTTACCCTATGATATCAAAAACAAATTGAAATTTGAACAAACTAATAAGTTTTCTAGCAATATTCTCATAATATTGAAATAGTTGCTCACTTTATCGAAAGGACCAATTGTTTGGAAAATTTAAATGTAACTGAGTCTGCTCAACCATTCTGTGTTTTGGAAACATAATTTATCAATAGAATCTTCATAGGAATTGATTACTACTTGAACATTCTCCTGTTCAATAATGCAACAAACTTAACATAAATTTCTAAATGAAGACCAACAACTATCAATGGGATTTTCGATATATAACAGTTCTAAGTTAAGCATGAATATCTATTCCACACACACCATAAGTTGGTAGGGATCAAATAATTAAAAAAACAAAACAAATTACATTCACTAGGCATTAAACTCATATACTCGTTCGGTTAGTAGAACCCTAAAACGTTTCCTTGCGGTGTCTTTCCAACGTCCGGTAAGTCGCAAACAAATACACGCTCGCACTACAGCATGATGTGAATCTGAACATGTGCCCCAGAATGAGCGACAGTCTTCTATCGAACCCTTCCATCGGTGGCTGATGGCGATGTGATCTGGTTGGGTTCAACGTTGAGACGTCTATGGGGATCGCCATGTCAAGAGATGTTTTTTCTTATGACTAAAGTTGGTGTTTGCTAGATATAGGCCGCTATCTGAGCATAGCTGTAGCAGATGGTCGCCATTATCTGTTCGACCAACCACGACACCATGAGATCCACTCAGGTGTCCTTTTTCACTTAGTCTGTCTACTTGAGCATTGAAGTCACCATCCATGATTACTAGACCAGAGTGCCTAACGTTTTGGAGGAGGTCCGAAATCTTCCTGTAAAACTCATCTTTCACCTCGTCTCAACTGCAGTCAATGGGAGCCTAGACAGATATGACGTAGAGGCAGCGTCGAGTTTCCCTATCTTTCCAAGTCCTGACTGATCCGTTTAGTCGGACAGCGCACAAGCGATTATCTACTGGAATCCAGTGTAGTTCTACCCTAGGACTCAACACTATACCTACACCACCGAGACCCCGGGAAGCTGCAACAGGGCTTACAGATACACGGAGAGTATATCTAGCTGGTTCATTGACATGGTGACGTCAAACGAATGACGATACTCGGATCACGTGAGCGTTTCGGAGACTCAACATACACCGATAACGCGAGAATCTAAAGTCTTAGCTAAGGAAGCCTGTTTCCCTATTTGACACAATGTCCGCACATTAAATGCTCCAACATGTAGTTTTCAGGAGACCAGGAATAATGTTTCCCGAGCTCGCATCGTTTGCATTAGCAATTCAGGGTGTTAAAGTGATGTAGAAGGGTGAGACCCGGAGATTAGAGAGATGCTTTTGTGTGTAGGAAGGATCTGATTGTGAGCGATTTGGTCTCGTGTGCTGTTACGGGTATAGGGTCGGATGTCATTTCCCGGCTCCCCACACCATGGAAGGGTGTTTCTTGAAGAACCTGAAAAGGAAGGTAGATTAGCGTTGGTCTTAGAGACCTAGGAGCGTGACCGCAGAGCCCGAAAGACAACTGCTTGAGAACTTTCACGCACGGCCCTCTTATTGGTAGTATTTAAAGTTTTAGCTCCATTCTTTTTAAAACGTCTTACCGCCGGAGACGGAAATCCGTGGGGTAAGGTGACGTGTGACATTTTAAGGGGTTGACCCCTTCCTTCCTTATGAGAAGGCAGCATCGCTGTTGTCCGAGGGTAACACCTTACTGCTATCACACCCCTCTGCAGTCAGCAGTACGACTTCGCCCTCAGACCTTGATTAACTGCTTTTAGTCTCATCGTTCTCCAACCGACCTGCCTGGCATGGTAGAGCCTTCAGAAACATATGTTAAATCGAATATAGCTCGGTTGTGTCATCACAACAGGGAAGCTTGACCACTACGTCAAGGTATCAGCTACGGTTGCATTGCATATACTTTGAGTAGGAAGACAGACAGATGTTCACAAGATGTCTTTCCCGAGAATAATATTCTTCATCTGTCAAATCCTTATGTCTGAATGATGTAACTAATTTAGAACACTCATTTAATTTCATTGACACGATAAGGCTCTGTATATATATATATATATATATATATATATATATATATATATATATATATATATATATATATATATATAGCTGTAATAAAGCCTAAAAGATTAAATTTATGGATGATTACGCTTATTTTATTGATTTGACTCAATTCACACAAACCCAATATGTTGACAAAGTCAACAATTATTTAAGCTTAATGAAATATGACCCGATTCTCACCACCCAATGTATTAATCAAACTAAAGTCGATATACTGATTCACATCAAAATATGCAAAAAAGAGTTTATCGTTATTATGTTGTTGGTGCTTTTAAAACAGACTAGAATAAAAATTCATTTTCAATCCTGCAGTGGTATTTTTTGTGGCCTGCATTATGTTCGTCATCGAGCTCACCTATTTGCGGCTGCGTTTGATTAGATGTTTATGAACAATTTAATATGCGATGAAATAAATCCTCCCTTTAGTTTCCGTTTATCATACTTCGGTGAACTCCGTTTGTACGATGACGATAATAAGAAGCTAAATGTGGATTAAGTTTATTTCAACCAATCGTTCATGCATTCATTTAAGCAGACAGACACAAATACAAAGCGAAGCAAAGTGGAGAAGGCGGACAAGCCAACTCAATGTAATTAAAGTATGAATAATTATATATAGTCAATTGAAAGTAAGCCGGGCATAAGATAGGTGAAGTAAATCACACACACTTAAGCAAAATCATCCAAACTGTGAGCAAATGATTGATAAAGTTGAAAGGTATGTGAATATTATAACTCGAAAAGAATGAGTTGATTAAATTGACCGAAGATTGAGACAAGCCCATCGGGATCGACATAAAATACCACATTACATTTGTGAGAAATCAATCTCTGGACAAAACCTTTCCTCATAAGGGTACATGTTATGAGTGGGTATAGTAGATAGCATGTATCAGGACTATTTGTTATGTATTGTAGTGATTAGAGGTAAATCTGGACTTAATTCAGTGAGTACATTAAAACGAAACCTCCTTCCGGTGCATTTAGGTTTTTTAATGGTAGTCTAATAGTGAACAGTCTATGATTTCAGTGAAACTCATTACTCTTCAAATCCCTGACTTATTATTCTGTATAAAAGTGGAACAAAACTTGCGAAATTATAAGGGCTAAGAACCACACAGCAAATTCAGTTATGTCAACTTACAAGTTCGATTGTTATGTCACATTTCACTTTCGTTCCTATCATTTTATGAGTGTTTGTGCAGACTGAACAGGAAGCACTTATCTGCCTTCATATATACTCATTTACGAAAATACAATGAAATTAATTTAGCATTTTAGTGGATTGTGGTACTGCAGTAATCTTATCTTTAACAATTATTTATAGCAATCTTTTAATACACAGTGAGTTATCAAATATAATAAACAAAATCAACAATCGAAAGTTACTAATTGTATCAAGATTGCAAAACAGAAGGTGGGGCTTATCGCTTCATTGCACAAAAACTTATAATGTATATAAAACCAAAAAAGATGAACTATAAGGAACTATATTTCTATTTGAATATGAAGTAACACTGATACCTGCCAGTAATGTTTTTCTTCGACATTTTTGCGTCATTATTTGTCCTCCAAAGATATTTTGTAGAACACTTGAGACTACTCATTAGTAGCATAATATTTTAAAACAAATAAATTACGGGTCAGAGACTTAAGGGGTAGACGAAATATGGTAAGCTGTTAGAGTATGTAAAATAAATCAACACAATGTCTGAATTGAATTTTTGAATTACATGAATAGCAGCTAAGGATTTTATTGGAACGGATTATAGTTTGGCTCGTTGAGTTTAGGAAATTCTTATAACTGTTGAAAGTTCAAGCATAAAAGTCATTGATATTCAGAGGTTCAGTTTCCTATGTATTTGTCAAAGTAATCCTTATGCTATTCGTTAGTTCAGTAGTGTTCCCTTT